GGTGTATGTTAAAAAATAATACCTCCCATTTCACATAATGAAAAATGTGATGTTAATAGAAAACACATTATCAGACAGTAGGTTTAAAACTTTCAAAGTAGACAATTTTCATTAAAAAAGTTAAAACATAACTGACATAAAAAAGTTTTATATTTTAAAACCTTATTACCTGCAGCCTGGCATGGGATTTCAACATTCCTGTCAAGATCAGCAAAGACTTTCTTTTTGGGTCGAACAGTCAGGGAAGGTGGTTCTGCAAAGAAAAAAAAGCACAATAAATCCAATATACTTTATATCAATATAAGACAAAACAACATCACAAACCAAATAAATATTCACACGAAAGGCCTGAAAGTTATCATGTGAAAAAGAAAGTTWTCGAAACTTCAGACAACTTCAAATCAAAGTATACCGTTAGAAAGGAGATACTTAAAAAACTTTACACAAGAGAATAAAAAAAATTGTTTTCCCTTTTGGCCCAGGGTAACCTAAGTGATGCTGCGAGAGAGGATTTCTGCCTATATACCATGTGAATTGACTTCCACACATCCACAGAAACACAGTCTGTAGGTATCCCAAGGGAAGCAATCTCCTTTTCAAACTGCACCATTTTGCTGCCAATAATGGCTCATTGCAAACATCTTCACCAGTGCTGCTCTAACTGCTGACACGGGCTATGATGCAAAACAGGATCACGTTATTTAAAAGTGAAAATGGGATTTTAATATTTTGCTTTGAGCACTGTGTTATAAAAGCTCACCTAGTGCTAGATGTGCATCATCAAACCATCGCTTAGGAAAAGATGTGCAAAAGCAAATCTGAAAATAAGGAGAACTACTGATACAATGTGTGTTTATTGTAGTCTAACATTTGTTAGAAAAAGACACGCATTAGAGGCAGCTGTTCATTAAAATGACTTCAGAAGAAATTAAATGTCCAATGTGTAAAAAAAATATAAAAATCTGTTCAAAATAAATAATTTTTAACAAACAAATAAAAACCTTTGTTATTGAAGTTTTAACTTTGGTTCAATGTGTTTGAGGTAGCTACCAAACAAACAATGTTTTAGACCGCATGGTTATTTTGACGGACAACTACAATAGATATGTTGTTATTTGGCTGTACAACAGGAGGATGCAGAGCCATACATATTCCTATTAGTAGCAGGGGGTGGGGTGGGGGGGGGTTGAATAATGAAAACCTTTGAGGCTGCTTCTGTCTCTCACAGAGACGCATACACTATTCTGTTTAGAAATCCTTTTTATTGCATCAAGGTCTGCTGAGCCCATCGCCAAGAAAAGAAGAAAAAAAAAGAAAGAAAAAGGATCTGTAGCAATGYATTCATCAGTCTCTACTCCTCTGATACAAATGAATCCACGCAGACTTTTTCGCTGTCAGGCAGGCCTTAAAAAAGAGCTGCCGGCCTAATGAAGGCAGATAATGTGGAGAGAGTGATTGTACAGGGATCACAGAGAGAAGGAGCCGAGCAGAGGGTCCAAAAATTGGTTCTAGATAGCGAGCGAGAGAAAAGGGAACGAGCGCAGGATCAATATTCAGGCAGGTCTTTTCTGACTAAGTATTCTGTAGGCGTGGGTAGCTTGTGCTCTCTGCTTAGGTGCTCCTTTGCTCCGACAATCGCAGCAGATCAAAAAGACACTGACAAACTGGGGAGAAAAGTTTTGCATCATCAATCACATCCTCCCCGTTTGCCTGCTTGTTGTCTATTTATGGGCATGCACTGAAGACAGAAGTGGAGTTTTACAAGAGCACATCTCTTTTTTTTTGGTGATTTTTTTCGGGTTCTCTTAATAATTGGCGACTCCAAGGAGCAAAACTAATTTAGCTGCCGGGCAAATAGGCACATGTGTCTTTGGTGCCCATTTTATTTATTTATTTCCATATTGATTGTGTGCAAGCATGAAAGAGATGTGTGTGTGTACATGAATGTAACAGCTGTCTGTGACTACAGTCGACGTTTTATTGGCGAGCAAAGATAWAAGATTCAGCTCCTACAGTGCTGTAGTTGACAGCCACTGCCTGGAGTGCTCACTGTCACACTTTAAGGAGAAAAAAAGTCAGAATAGATGGACAAATAAACAGAATGAAACAGAGCCTGGAGCATAAAATGTWCAACAATAGCCAGGAGTGAGGCGAAAACAGAAATTAATCACATGATGKGGGTATTAGCTAGCCTTTCCTGGACGATCATTGATAATGATATTAGGTATAGTGTGTACTTGTACTTGTGTTGTGTATAGCTTTTCAAACCAACACAAGACAACAAATCACCTTTTCTTTAAGGAACAAAATAAAGGCAAATGAAATTTATTAGTTACAGTTAAGGTAGCAATGAGTAAGACGGTAGGAAACATCAGCAGAAAATAAATGTAGCTCAGAAACTTCTGAAGAGGGTTTGTACTTTTGTGAGGGACAGGTTTTTATTCTTACCCATTACACTCAGATGTGCCCTCGCCTCCACGGGTTTGGCAGTATTGTTGCTAAGTGACGCTTCACAAATATACAACCCCGCGTCAGAGGAGGCGGGGGCGGGAATGGTGAGCCGACGCCCAGTTGCCAGCCGACGCCCATCACGCTTCCATGACACCTCAAGGTCATCAACCGGTCTGGGTAATGAGGAGTGGAGAGGAAAGACAAGAACAAGTAGAGTTGGGTAAAAAAAAAGAAAAGAAAAAAAAAACAGGGTGACAGAAGGCGATTACAACATATTAAATCCATCAGTTTATTTGTCAATGAGGCAGAAAATGAATGATGACAGTCTGTATATCAGAGCAGTCAGCTCTACTCAGCATGAAGGAGCTTTAGTCAGTTTTTCTAAGCGCTGAGGAAGGAAATGGGTTTTTGTGGCAAAAAGAATTGTGTTTTAGAAAAACAACATCAAAACAACATTATTTGCTCAGCTTATTTGTGTAAGGCAGCATTAATACGTTACAGGAGCTGTCTGTGAAAGCACAACCCTATTTTAGCTGCACTCAGCAACTGTCATAAAGAACTGAATGTACCGTTGTGTCTTCCAACATTTTATATGTTTTACATTTATACTAAAGTTCGCAGATGACTCAGTAGAACAACAAGTGATTATGTAACAAGTAGCTTGAGTTAATGTCCAAAACACAGGAACTTTAGTAGATGTATCCACAATCAGTAAATGAAAAGACAAAAATGACCAAAGATCCAAATATTATTAAGGCTACATTTAAACAAATTAAGTGGATTATAATTACAATTAGGTTTAATCATGTTTGTAAATCCACCGTAATAGCAGTCATGATACAATTAAACATCCACAGAAATTAAATAGGAGAAATTGGTTTATTAACTCTGACTTGTTTTCATTCATTAGTGCTCAATTCATCATAGTTTTATTCTTGGTTTTCAATTCTAAGAGAAGTCAGTGTTTTGTTTATATTAAACAGCAAAAATACAAAGTTTATAAGAATTTCAAGACATGTGGACGTGATGAAATAAGTCTATGCATAAATAGTGACACATATTTGTACTCACATTGGAGATGATTACATCACAACTCCATTAGAACAATAATATATTTATCTCATTATCCCAAGATAACAGAGGTTGCTTTAGGTTTTGATATAATCGATTTATATATTTACTAGTTTAGACACATTTCTGTCATCTCCAATGACCGTGAGCACTCTTTAGACAGATAAGTAGTGGACTGGATTTCCAGCGACCTCTCTCTCTCTTTGCAGCCATTCTGCATCGAGGGGGTGCAGGCTAAGATTATTGTATTGTGCAAATATCCTGGGCAGCAGCTGGACAATAAACTACACTGGTCACTGAACACTGACCTACTTTACAGGAAGCGGGCAGAGCTGGTGTCCTTTAACATCAGCACAAAACCTGTGCAGGTGTTTTACCAAGCTGGCTGCCAGCGTCGACTTTTACAGGTCCTGGTGTGTTTGGGTGGCAGCAGGAGGATTAGTAACACTAAGCACCTCAGCAGGATCATCAGGCAGGTGTGCTTCATGGTGGGCATGAAAACGCACTCTGTGGAGGCAGTGGTGGACTAAAGTCTATAATGGACACCCGACACCCTCTCCACACTGCCTTCTTGCAACAGAGGAGTGCATTCAGTGGTGGACTGCTGCTGTCACTGAGAGACTGGGGAAATCTTTTGTTGCTTGGGCCATCAGGCTGCACAACTCCTCTGTCAAGATGGTAGAGACACGAAGGGAGGATGGTGTGAGCACCTGAGGGAGCATGTGGTCATGGTGCAAGTATTTACTTTACTACGGCTTTTTTGTAAGATAACTTCTGCAGTTCAGTTCTGTACAATTTTCTCTATTTTTTGTTTTGTTTTTATCACAGACACTTGATGCAAAATGGGTTTTATTTATCATTCATATTTGTTCTTCAGTTTTTGAGTTTTTAAGTGCAGTGACTACTTTTTTACATTCATGTTTTCAATATTTTTATCATGTTTTTACTACATTCTTGCATATTGTTTTATACTATTGAAGTGGTTGTCTCTTATTGTATCTTTGTTAGTTGTTATAATTTTGTTGTGGGAAGGCAAACAACTGAAAATTGCTGAATTTCTTTTGAGACAATAAAGTATGATCTCTTCTTGCTGCCATAATAATTTTGTTATTTTCTTCTGTTTTGAAGTACAAACAAACTTGGATGCAAAAAAAGCAGTATCACTGATATATTTATACTAGAGACCTGCCAAAAAACAGAAAGACAAACTTCCTTCTATTATTGCCACTACTTCTTGTTTTCAGCCATACTTTTAATATTGTTAATGTTCTCATTTGTGCATATACAATAACTGGTAATTATTGAATGTGGAAAGCAGATGATTACAGACTTTAGCACGCCATTTCATTTTAATGATCAAACTCAGTTCTGCCAAACATGGAATGTTTCTCAGTTGTTTCCTGAGTACAAAATGATCCCAAATGGGTTTTTGAGTCAGAGCTTTTTTTAATGGCAGGAAGAGCCAATATAAAGTGTATTGTTCTTGTCAGTTAAAGAGAAAAACGGGACACTGTGAGCTAATCTGTATGCAGATGGAGAGCAGACTGAAAAAAAAAACAACAAAAAAAACCAAACAAAACACTGCTTTGAGTTGATGTGAAAATGTTTGATCTGCACATTTTTCTACTGTCTTAACACCTACTAGACATGAGTCTAGGTGCTCTAATATTTCTAATAATAACTTGTTCTTTCATAAGCAGAGTGCTATTCAGTGGTCAAGTGCTGTCAAGAGGAATTGATTAACAGGTATTGTGCCTCCTATAGACCATATTTACTCATACCGGTACTTTTAAAAACACACACAAAACAACAAAAGCTGTATAATATGGTCATAAATAAAACTAAGTGCAGCCTTTCAACTAAGTGGCTTCCACAGAATCATCTGTTAGGCTCTAGACAAGTCGTTCTCAAACTAAAACCATAGAAAATAGTGAGAAAACCAAAATATATAAGAATTCACCAATCAACTTGAACATCTAACTCTAACAAAAAACAAAAACAAAAAACTGATTATTTAAAGCCAGATTATTTATCCTAAGCTAACCCYGTCACCAAACCAAACTGGCTACGCAGCACACACTAAGGCCTTGGCTAGACCAACCTTTGGTGAGAGGGTCAGCTACTTAGGATGCACTGGGAAATTCTAACAACAAACCTGAAGACTGCAACATACCTGCAATCATTTTAGTAATCTTTACATTTTAATATGTAGGCTAAAGAAATAAGATGGGATCTTGACACGTGTCGGCTGCACCTGGACTTTGTGTCATTGGACTGATTCTATCTTTATTTTTTAGCTTTACATCACAATTTTATCTATGGTAATCATTAATTTGTTAATTAAATTGTAAACAGTTGATACCCAAATTTATTTTGAGTACCACCATAAAGACCCTGAGTACCATAAGTTGTACTTGTACCACAGTTTGAGCACCACACTCTAAAAATGAAATGTTGGATTTATTTAACCATGTTATGTGACCTGGTTCCACTTAACTGAGTTGAATAAATTCAAAACAACATACTCATGTTCTTTGGTTAAAAAACTGGTATATTGCTTTGAATTTACTCAACTCAGTTAAGTGGAACCAGGTCACATAACATGGTTAAGTAAATCCAACATTTCATTTTTTACAGTGCATGACTTCAGACAGCTCATTTAAAGCAGTCATTTAATTTTATGTCACTTTTTGACATGTAACAAACAATAAAATTGATGCTGTTCAACTTGCTTGAAGCCAAAATCACTAAAAATGGCTACATAATCAACAGGCAGTATGGTAAAAAAAAACATGAAGTACTAAAGATTCAACAAGTAAAGCTGAGAATACCCAACCTGTGCTATAAAAAAGTTGCAAAAAAAAGTTCAAGTAATCAACATCTTGTATTTCTAAAACTTTTATTAGAGAGAATAACTCGACACAAGATGAAACAAAAGCTACAAAAGATTGTGGTGAGTACTGAGCCAAAGGAAAAAAAAATTGGTGTAGCGCTGAATAATTCAGTAAGGCTGGACTCACACACTTTGGTGCACATATAGGTGTGTGTGTGTGTGTGTGTGTGTGTGTGTGTGTGTGTGTGTGTGTGTGTGTGTGTGTGTGTGTATTAAGTACTTGGCAGTGGTCAGTGTGAATTTGTGGGAGTGCTTAGCTTGTGAGCTGATGTCAGATGGGACTTTGATCCAATCTTTACAAAGTTAACTTGTTACTGGTGTGAATCTGCCTTTCTTTTGGGGATAAAACTGCTTCATATAATAAAAGTAAATGCATTTTAGAATGATAAGTGTTTCTGAAGTCCAGGGTTGAAGTGAGGCATGTAGTGTTTATAGGTATAGGTACAACTAACCTCCAGAAACAGATAAAAAATCAATGTTTTGTCCTCTGAAGTGAACAAATCAAATCTGTGTGCTCGTGCCAGTAACAGTGTGTCTCACAGAGGGAAAGAYTTGCTGAGCTATGATTTTAGGTCCTTTAATTGTTCTAGAAGAAAACAGTGATGTCACGCAAGACCGGGTTTGTTTCCTCTTGTATCTGTTCATCTGAATGAACACAAAGATTTTTACCTGGCATTAGCGACACACTCCAWTGTAGCCTCGGTCCCCACCACTACTGTTGTGTTTCGAGGTGCGATCACAATTGCTGGAGCCACAAGCTCCGACTCAGAATCTGCAACAAAGAAAAAAATAATAATAATGTTGCGCTCATAAATCACACTCGCACACAAAGCAGCATCATCTTCCAGAAACAGCAACAATGTTTTAAACGTAGAATCATGAAGTCATACATACGGCATTGTCCTTTTTTATTACGAGTCATTACACAAAAGAGATTCACACATTCCATGTACCACTCGACAGAGGCAGCTCATGTTCAAACTGATAATTAGCTCGTATTCTGTTTTCACTGGAAACTTCTAAATCAAGACTGTCAACTTGTTGAACACTTCAGTTGAATTTTGGCATCTGAGAGTTCAATTTAAGTCATCCTGCAAAAATAAAATAAAAAATAAAAAAATCTTGTCACGCTCAAAAGCTTACAAGACAAGATAATTTRGAAGTGCTTTTAAGTCCAGTAGCACTAACAAGCTACTGGAATCTGGCTCCAAAACATCTCCCACTTTCAACAGATTTCAATTAAAAAAACAAAGTCACTGCACATTGTCCGTGCGCCTCAACAGTGTTATTAGGTAAAGTCACTGCATTAGTGCTGGTGGATAATTGGAGATTAATTTTAAAATTAACTCAATTGGTCAAATATGTTTTTCTAATATCAACCAAAATGGTCACTTCTGAGTCTGACAAAAGGTTTGAGAAAGTACTTGCCATATAGATTCTATCCAAATTTACATTTCTGATTTTTTAATATATTTATTTAAATTTTTGCACACATTTTTGAGGCATTTTTGCCTTTGTTAGGAACAAAATAAGACAGGAAAAGAGCATTCTGTAGAAAATATGCCACAAAGGATGGATTCAAACCAGGCTGATGCTGAAAAAACCTCATCCTTTGGCACATTCTCAGCACAGGGCACCCTGCTATGTCAGCTTTTCTTATGCTGTTAGAAAATAGCCAAATAAAAACCAAGTACTTATTTGTATTTTTTTGTGTTTATATTACTTATATAATAAAATAAAGATAAAAGAAAACACTCATTTAAAGGCCAAGCAGTTTTTGAAGGAATGCATGTCATCTGTTGCCTTTCATGACAGAGATTTAAACTATGAGCATTTTATGTTAAAAATTATCAAGAGTTTTTTTGTGCTGGCTAGCATCAATTAGCTCTAGAGGCCATCTTGAATTAAGTAAAGTCCAAAAGTTAATCAGCTGTAGATGTACGGTACATTCAACAATGACTTATTGAGAGTTTCACTAAAATCCTTCCTTTGGCACATCAATAGGTTACTGGCTCAACAGACAAATGAACACACACCAGTAGTGTACTGTCAGGGCCAGCAAAGTCTTCTCTGCTGGCCTTAATTCAATCAGAGTCACTACATTATACAGTAGAATATTTTACATTTATTATAATAGTTATTAATATTATTATAAGGATATTATTTTTGAAATATCTGTTCTCATCGTTACATACTTTTTCTCCTGGATGCGTAGCGTCCAACAGCTTGTTGTTATTTAGAGTTTATATCTAATCAAATTTTGATCATCATCTGTTGCTAGGGATCCACAAATCTGCCTCAGGCCTTCAGAACGAGCAGCGAAGGAACCTGGAGGGTGAAACGCATGGCAGCGATTCTGTTGCTTTGACCAATCAGGTGCTGAGGTGAAGACACCAGAGCCTGCTAGCTGGCCTCGGACAGMGTCAACATTTTCTCATCGTTTGATTGGCTGATCAGAGAGCAGGAGTCAGAACCGGGAAACTAGATTTCTGTAGCGTCTTAAAAGCTAAAGGCTGAGTGGACATTCTCAGCATTACAGAAAATTAAAACTTATAACAAAAATACAAAAGAACAGACTGGACTTTCAGTGTTAGCTTCAKGGTGGTGATRGAAAGGGACTTATTGTTGAAACAGAAAACGGAGGACCTGTGTGACAGAGGAGCCGGATTTTTCTTGAGGAATAAAAGGAGGATGGAGTTTTTAAACCGATAATCAAAAGTTTTGGTGAGTAAAATATGTTATTTAAATGTTTTATTTAGTTATCAGCTTATTATGTAACCGTGTTGATGCTGTTGTTAATGTATGGTACAGCTGTGGCTGCAGTTGAGAAAACTTGTTAAATGTCGCTTCAGTGATGACTTTCTTTCTGGCTTCATGAGACACCTGTCTGTGGCGCAGAGACACCTGTCTGTGGTGCAGAGAGACACCTGTCTGTGGTGCAGAGACACCTGTCTGTGGTGCAGAGAGACACCTGTTTGTGGTGCAGAGACACCTGTCTGTGGTGCAGCTGAGACACCTGTCTGTGGTGCAGAGACACCTGTCTGTGGTGCAGAGACACCTGTCTGTGGTGCAGCTGAGACAGCTGTCTGTGGTGCAGAGACACCTGTCTGTGGTGCAGCTGAGACAGCTGTCTGTGGTGCAGCTGAGACACCTGTCTTATTTTATTATTTCCTGTTAGTTTTCTCCATTTCCTGTATCATGTTATCCTCAGTAGCTTCTTAGTGTTTTTCCAGCCTGCCACTCTCACCTGTCTGTAATCACCAAGGTGCTTCCACTCCCAATCATCCTCAGTTGTATTTAACCGGTGTCATGTCTTCATTATCCTGTCGGATCATTGCTTTATTCATGCCTCAAGCCTTGTTCTTTTTCTTAGTTCTATGCTGCCACGTCAGCCTTTTTCTTTTGTTATTCTTTAAATCGGTTTTGTTTTGCATTCAAGTCCTCATGTTTGCCTGCATTTTGGGTTCCTACACAAATCCTGACAAGTTAACCTAATGTGCATATGTTTTATTTGTTGAAGAAAACTGAAGTACCCAGAGAACTCACTTGTGAGCAAGAACAACATGCAAACTCCACCCAGCTGAGGGGCGACAGCTCTAAGCACTGCACCACTGTGGCGGCTGTTGGTGGAGCTCTATATTAGTTCAAGTTCCCCACACATCATCTGATAAGGACACTTAGGATAGATTGGTACTTCTTTGAGAAGTGAAGACGTCTGCTCTTGCTAAGGTAGTTGTAAGATGTTCTTTTTCACATGGACATTTTATATTCACTGAGAAACTGCAGCACAGAACTTCATCCAGAAATTCTTCAGCAAAAAAGTATTTGTAAAGATGGCTGTATTTTCTGGCAGCTTTGGCCATCTGCTCCTCAGCAGAGCAGTTGTGAAATGGCATTCTTGCTATTCACCCACTTTTTCGCATAAACACGCCCACAACAATGTTCTGACCAATCACCGCATAGCTATCACACTCATAAGAGAAAAAGAGGCTCTCAGAGTTAACGCGGATATTATATGTTGCAACTACATCAGTGAGAACAGATTTCTTAATTCTTGCAAAGTATAAATCCAGTTTAAGTCTTGTATACAGCAACGTGTCAAACCAAATAAAAACAAAATAAGGTATTTATGAATGAAAAGCATTAATGTAAAAACTTGCAGTATTTTTCACTTCTGTTCTTGTTTCTAAATTACTTTTCATCTCATGTACACAATCTAATTCTCTGCTACCTGTTTTCCAATATATTGGAAATGCTATGGCTGTGCATGTGCATGTGTGTGTGTGTGTGTGTGTGTGTGTGTGTGTGTGTGTGTGTGTGTG